CGCTTGTTTGTGCGTACGGCTTCTCGTAACAACTGAGAGGATAAAAGAGGAAATCGCGAGAGACCAAATAACTGGCATTGTTATCTATTTAGAACCACAGGTCAACAATCAAAACTAAAAGCATAGAATACGGGAATGCATCCGACTTGGTGAAGTTAGTAAATTGTTCTGCGGTCAGCAACTGAGAGGATAAAAGAAGTCAGTCAGTGTCGTACATATTTATGCCCATAAAAATTAGTGCTTGATGATCGGGGATTCCCCCCGTCCATCATTGCACGCATCGACAAACTATTCCTAGTCGTCCCACGGTCAATGATTCATCACATCTGTCACTCTCCACCGGCTGCATGCCATGTCGCATCCAATCGTGGACTCACTAGCAAAGCAGTGTAAACATGTGGACGTGCAAATGTCCACCTCCAACGCAATTTCCACGCAGGTGGTCTGGTCACCGAACCCCCGTTCGTGTCCACATTTATAGGGTTAAAATGACTCGGGTTTTCCTTCCTTGCTGTCTATAAATTGATATGCAACCCCCCACTCCATCTGCAGTAAGCTCACACCACGCGTCTGCATCCGGTGCTGCACATGGCTCGCTCCGCTCTGCATCCGGTGGCCTTGGTGGTGGCAACGACCGTGGTGCTACTGGCGGCCGCACCCCGTGGCGGCGAGGCTATAACCTGCTCCCAGGTGTACGGGGACCTGATATCGTGCGTGGGGTACCTGCAGGGCGGCCCCATCAAGCAGCAGTGCTGCAGTGGGATCAAGTCGTTGATAGCGGCGGCGCGGACGACGAAGGACCGCCGCACCGCGTGCGGGTGCATCAAGACGGCCGCCGCGGGGCTGTCGGGGATCGACTACGGGCGGGTCAGCCAACTGCCCGGCCAGTGCGGCATCTCCGTTTCTTACAAGATCAGCCCCAACGTGGACTGCTCCAAGTAAGTAACATACATATGTACAGACCCACCGCTCGAGTCCTTCTCTTCGTGCGCTTTGGTTTGGTTTTATGATCATATAAACAATAAAATTGCTGTAAAAATCCTTTTTTTTTTCTTACAAAAAAAATCCCATTAAGATCAAAATTATATATAATTGTTTGCTGTGGGCTTTTCTGTGTTGCAGGATAAACTGAGAGACCAAAGGTTGGAAGCCATCGGGCCTGTGTTTTTCTCGTTTATGCGCGAGAGAAGAACAACAAGGAGCGGTGCTCCTCCATCCCATCCCATCCCATTCCATCCCAACCAATAAAGACCCTTTGTTTCTTCAGTGCCGTGTGCTGCTCCTCTCGAGTCGGACGTGTACTTATGAAGCAAGCTATTTAGGGTGTTGAACTCTGTGGTGCTTAATAATGGTGAATTATATGAACATCAATACGTGTTCTTTTCTTTAGATACATCAAGTGGTCAAAAATATCTGTGGTTGTGCGTAGGTTGCAAGTCCATACAAAATAATGCGAATCCTTGGGTCAAGTTCTCATAATTTCTTCCCACTAAATAAAGCCTCTATCTCCCATTAGAAGGTTCACTCGCCAATTATTCATAATTTCCGATGCCAAGAATTTAATTTCCACGGAGATGAAATGATATGTTGAATGATTCGATTGGATCCAATTAAAGAAACTTTGAAACAAAAAAGAAAAAGAGTGAAAATGAGAAAGAATTTAGAGGTACGTAAAACAACTATCTTGTGAATCGCAAGACAGCCGTATGTTTTGGACTTGATATAAGGAAGTGGGCTATTGATTTGTACGTGACTCGACATTCCATTAGTGCGTCGTGCATCACCGAAACCTTTTACCTTTGTTGCTTCCGCCAGCCCTTATTTAGGCTTGTCCGAACAATCATTGACTTCCCAACTTTGCTTTTTTCTTTTTAGAATTATTTATTCTTTCTAAATTTCCCAATAGTTTTTTTTAATAATAAACTTTATTTTTATGCTTTGTTTGGAATTACTATTGTGCATTTATATTTGGGTGACATTGTTTAATATTTTTAAATAAAGATCAAATGATTAATGTGAGATATGAAACCTATAACAATTTATCGCAACTAAGCTATTGGTGTCGTTCACCGGAAAGTCAACATGGTCTGGTTCTATCCTGAAAGCGTGGACTCGTCCAAAAAGCCTAAGTGAATCATGTGGGTGTGATTTGAAAATGAGGCTGAGGTGACAAGTGGATTTCTGAGGATTTGTTGGCTCGTGATGATTAACCTGTGGTTCTTTTACTGAAGGAGGCTCAGAGTCATCCCGAGGTGAGCCTTGGCTTTGTCTGGTGATGCTCCACATCATTCGAGATGCTCCTTAGACGCATCGGGGTACTGCACAATTAGTCAACATCAAAGGATATCTCGAATCGACCTCTTCGACGCTTAAGTCGATAGAGAAAGTGGAAAAGGTTTAGTAGAGCTCAGGATAGTTTAGATAGAGTATACTAGCCTAGTTTGGTTTTGAGGGCTGACTTTTAAACTTGATTTGTCGATACAGGATGGTCGACTACTCGTCCCCCCTTGAGCTTTTTGTACCATTAGAGATTCATTTATGTCGACTACTAGTGAACATATCTCTCTATTGGTTACGTCATGGAATGATGATTGGGGGTGCACCATCTGTTCGGGAAGGGACATGCTTGAAACGGATAAGGGATGGGGATCAACGTAAAGTGCCTGAAGAGTCAGGCCATGCCATCAAAAATTAATGCTTCCTATAATTAAGCATACAACTCATTCTGAAATTATAGTTTAGCGTAATGGATCATTGGCGACCGATGACATGATTAAGGGGAAGTTAGAGGATGAGTCTGGTTACCGTGTACCGATAATCGACTCGTACGATTTTTTCGGGGATCGTGTTCCGATTGGTGACCGTGTGAGTGGGCGATGTGTGTCAATTTCAAGTGACAACCCATGATTCAGTGATTAGTAAAATAATGTATGTGCCATTGCTTTCCCTATCAAGCATCATTGGTCTTTTTTCGGGGATTACGAAGCTAGATGAAATATTTTTATGAGCTGTTGATGCTTTTGCTTATGTAGCTTCTTCGGCCCAAGTGACGAGGTGAGTTAGTAGCGTTGTTATTTTTTCTACCACGAGTTAATTATATTTTAAATATTTAAAAGAATATATTTTGAATTTTTAATCTATGACTAGTTGATTTTAGTAAGATAGTCTAATGCTTGTTCCTCGACATACATTTGAGAGAGATGGGAGTTGATTCTTTAATGCTCGTTTTCTAGAGAGAATGGTCTCAAAAGTAAGACGAGCAATAATAACTGGATCCCTATCCGCTACTCGGACTTGAGTTTAACTCGGGTTTTATTTTTCTCTCCTCGTTCATTCCAAATTCGATCAATATATTCAAAATTATTTTAGAATAGGCTATTGTCATTATCATTTAATATTTCAATGATAATAACTGGAATCACATATTTAAGTAGCCAAATTTAATTTCGATTTCGACCTCAGTATAAGAAAAAAAAAAACCCATACATAACTAAAATACCAAAAAGAAATTATTTACTCTCAAACTTTTCTTTTTTCTTTTTGGGTTTGTAAATGCAAGTGGTGAGAGGACAAGTGTTAATATAGCAAACACAGGACCTCAAATTACAATTATAAAGCTAACAGGTAACAGACGTCTCTTTCGTAATATCCTACTAATTCAGGCCCAATGACAATAAATAAAAGAAAGCAGGCGAATCTATCGACGGCTGCAATTCGAGTCATTCCACTTGCCAGCCATCATCGTGGCACTGACGGTGGTGCCACTGGCGGTCGCCCCCCATGGCGGCCAGGCGATTCGTATTGCCAGGTGTACCGGGACGTGATACAGTGCCCGGGGTGCCTGCTCGGCGGGCCGATCACGCAGCGCTGCTGCAGCGGGATCAAGTCATTGGTAGCGGCGGCGCGGACGACGCAGGACCGCTGCACCGCGTGCGGGTGCATCGAGACGGCCACCGCGGTACTGTCGGGGATCGACTTCGGCCGTCGCGTGCGGGTGCATCGAGACGGCCACCGCAGTGCTGTCTGGGATCGACTGCCCGGCTAGTGTGGCATCTCCTTACCTTACCGGTGTTGGAAAAATACTACAAAGAAGAGGATAAAAATATTATAGAAATAAATAAAAACACAAGATCAAAAATACTTTAGGAAAGATATTTAGACTTGAAACGTGTATAAACATTTTTCTAGAAATGATATTTGCACCCTTTTTTCAATAAGATTGCTATGTGTTTGATGCAAATAGTTTTAATGTATATGATAAGCCTTTAGAAGATATGTATTAAGCAAACAATAAAAAATCTTCAAAGAAGAATTAGAGAATATCTAATTTAATCACTTGTAGAGTAAAGAAGAAGAATATGAAAAAGATAATTTAATAATTTACCCTCAAATATCTATTTATAGATATTTTCTCAAAAGACATAACCTTTAAAAAATAACTATAAAAGAAAATACCTTTTCAAATAAATCTTTTGAAAAAAAAATTTCTTTTTAATTTGAACAATTTATAACAATCCTCCACTTGTTCAAATTTAAAATTTTCTCCAAGTGATTAAATAGTATTTATAAATAAAATAATATATCTTTCGATTTGAATATTACCTTAGTGTAAGGATCACAAAGTGAAGTCGAAATCCCAAATAGCATAAAAGCTTTGAATTTGTTATTCCTAATGACAACACCGGTGATACCACACACATAAATACAATATCCTTGTATTCCTCATAAAATCTCGCTTAGCCCTAATATAGCCTTGGGCTCATCCAAGTTCATGAACTTTTATGAGAGAAAACTCCAACTCTCAATTGAAGCGGCACATCTTCTAAGTTCATATAGGTGAAGTTCTTATAGTATCTTTGTCACTCTTTGAGATACTTGTCCTAACTTGATTGAACTTCATTAAGAGTATAATTAACTCAACCCTCATTCGATGACAACCAGCACTTTAACGTCTTTAGATGAGACTTGTAAAATATTTCAAAGTACTGAACCACTCCACATGTTAATGACTTGTTCTTACCCTTTGAACTCTTCATTACTCATTTCATAATGTTGAGTAGGGTTGCTATCATTGGTGGATCTTTTATTCAAGGAGTTTTAGCCCCATCCATTTTAATGTTGATCTTATAACTTTTCTTGTAAGAGGTTTGGTGAATGGATCATCTTCCACTTGTAAAACAAGAGGAATTGTTTTTGCTTTTCGTACACGAGTGCTTCTTCTTAATTTATGAGATTGTTCTCCAACCTCTTGTGAACTTGATTGATGTCCAATCAAAGAAATATTAGGTTGCTCACCAACCTTTTGAGATGTCTCCACTAGTGACTCTTCACTAGTTAGAGGATGAATATTATTACTTGAAATTATTAAATGTTCAAAGAATTTCACATCTCGAGATTCTATTATGGTATTAGACTTCAAATTAAGAAGTCTATAAACTTTGCTATTTAAGGCATAGCCTATAAATGCATATTTGATTCCTCTATGTTCCAACTTTGTCTTTTAAGGATCATTATTATTACAATATATAAGACACCCCCACACTTTAATATAACCAATGTTAGGTTGTCTTCCTTTCCATAACTCATATAGAGAGATTTTATTCTTTTTAGAGGGAATTCTATTTAAGATATGACATACAGGTAATAAAACTTCTCCCCACAAATTATAAAATAATTTAGGATGCAACAACATAGCATTAATCATCTCTAGATAAGTTTTATTTTTTCTTTCTGCTAATCCATTTTGCTTAGGTGTTCTAGGTGCTGAACATTCATGAATTATGCCATGTTGTTCACAAAACAAGTTAAATTCATTAGGAAAGTATTCTCCTCCTCTATCACTTCTTAAAGATTTAATTTTCTTCCCCAATTGATTTTTAACTTCTACTTTATATGCCTTAAAAGCATTAAAAGTATCATTTTTACATTTCAATAAGTACACATATGTGAATATAGACATATCATATATAAAAGTAATGAAATATCTATTACCTCCTCTCGTTAATATGTCATTTAATTCACATATATCAGAATGTATTAAGTCTAACAAATTAGTATATCTTTCAATACTTTTGAATTGTTTCTTCATCATCTTTGATTTAACACAAATTTCACATTTATTAAGATCATCAAAATGATAATTTATTAAACCACACTTAACCATTCTTCTAATGGTGCTAGTTCCAATATGTGCTAATCTATCATGCCATAATGAATAAGAATCAACAATATAAATAGAAGCAACATATTTATTAAATTTAGAATCATTGTCAACAATAGATAATTTGACCATTCCCTCAGCGGAATAGCTTTTTCCAACAAACATTCCATTACGGGATAGAATTAACTTCCCGGATTCAAATACAGATTTAATTCCAAGTTTGCTAAGGAGAT